TTTAGTTACTTTTTTAGCCCTTTGACACCGGGGGACTAAAACACTAATGGAAATGGTTTTAGGAAATCCAAGGCAGATGATAAAAAGGAGGACAATCAACAGAGGAGATAAGAAGAGGTAGCAGGAGAGGAAAGGAGACAAATACTTACGGCAGGAATGACAACACCTGGGCAGCAAATCTTTGTGCTTCTGAGGTTATGTCCGTGCCACTGTGTCTATCTCTGCTTTCCTCTCCAAAAGCTAGACAAATTGTGTTCCCCTTTTCTCACTCCTTAATTTCCTCCCCGTCCCCCACCCCATGCCAAATGTCTTTGTTTTTGGTGAAACATTCTCCTAGGTTGTATAGCCCTGGTGTGTCCACTTGCCATACAGAGGTAACTTGTGGTTGCTGTGAAGCTGAACACTGTGACACTGTAATTGGTGGCGCTCCCTGGGCACTTAACGACAACAAACAATGTCAAATGGTGTAACAGTTGGACTGTTGATGTTGTTGATTGCTGTTGACTTGAGCATGACTCATAGTGACCCTATGAACAAAAGACCTTCAAGCCTTTCTATAACTTATTGCTGTTTCTCAAAGTTTGTAGTTTCCACTTGGACTATGAACCAAAAAGTTAGTGGTTCTCTTCCATCAGCCACTCAGCAAGAGAAAGATGGGCAGTCTCCTCATGTAAAGATTTGTGGTCTGCAAACAACAAATGCTGGCGAGGTTGTGGAGAAACTGGAACCCTTATTCACTGTTGGTGGGAGTGTAAAATGGCGCAACCACTATGGAAGGCAGTATGGTGCTTTCTCAAAAAGTTGCAAATAGAGATACCATTTGACCCAGCAATTCCACTACTGGGAATATACCCCAAAGAAACCATAACCACCACCCAAGCAGATATATGCACACCCATGTTTATTGTGGCTTTGTTCATAATGGCAAAGAGCTGGAAACAACCCAAGTGCCCATCAACAAATGAATGGATAGAGAAAGCTCTGGTATATTCACACAATGGAATGCTATGCAGTATTGAAAAACAAGGAACTCATGAAATATTATGCAAAATGAATGACCCCGGAGGACATTATGCTGAGTGAAATATCTCAGTCACGAAAGGACAAATATTGCATAGTGCCACTGTTGTAAAACAGGACTGATATCAGGGTTGAGAAAAGACAGAAAAGGAGGGGAGGAATGATTTATATTGCACTAAAACTGATGAGGGAGAAAACTGTCATTACAGAAGTTCAGAGTGAAGGTTGCTTAGTGGAGTGGACCTTTGCGGCGGGGTGGGGTGGGGTGGTGGTAATCCATAACAATGAAAGAGTTTTTATTTTTTTTCAAGGAGAAGAGTGAACTGGGGGGGGGCGAAGAGGGGACAGAGAGAAAAATGCAACAATGAATGACTGGAAACCATAAGGCTCTGTAAACTTTCATTAAAATAATTTTTTTTTAAAAAAAACCACAAACCTCAAAAATTATTAAAAATAAAAAAAAATTTGTGATCCCAGAAACCCAATAAGTCTCAATAGGTGGTGACTTTGGCTATTTTGGCATATGACATAAAGTAAGAAGAGTAAACATTAAGTGCAAAGCCATATTATCCAGCACTGAATGAAAATTTCTCATTTAATAGACAGGCAAATGGAAGTTAAATAAGTGCTCAAAGGGACATAGCTGGGGTACAATAGCTGCTCCGGGGCCTCAAGCACTCTAAGTCCTAGCCTAGCACCCTTTTCCTACCTTTTTTGAACACAAATAAGGTCAGAATGTTGTATGGTAACAAATGAGAATGATGAAGACTACAAGTAATGTGATTTTCAAAGGATGAATTGCATGCAGTCAACAGAGTGAAATGAATGACTAAGTACTAGCTCACAGTGCTATTGTTCCTCCCTAGGAATATGTGTTCTCTCCAGCCATCAATGGTCCTTGCCATCAATGAAGATGAAAAATTGCACGCATTGAATAAATCATCAGTAGATCATATTGGTTGCCGAGGGGACACGAGGTAAGACCTGATTTTTAAACAAATTCAGGAAAGTTCTCTAACACTTTCTCATACTTAAGCTTCTACCTCTGTTGAAAACTGATGATGACAAGAAGGGATTGTTGCAATTTTAATGCACCAGTCTTTCAAGTTCCCCTCTGCTCCTTGCTGCAGATTCTTAAGCTGTGACGGGAAAGCAATCTCAATATTAGCCTACTTCCATAAATTGAAAAAAAGTCACTTGACTTCTCTTTCTTCAAACTCCCAAAGAGTGTTAGTTGTTTACTTACTTAAACAAAGGGCTTATGAGGTACTAACATGTTGTTGTTTTGAATCCACCAAGTTTTCTTTGGAAATGCTCAGGCAGACTCATAGACTAACTAGCCAGTCATCTAAAGTAACTGTCTTCTGTCGTGTGATTCCGGGGAACCACAGCCACTCTGGTGGTGACGGTCCGTGTTTGTCTGTAGGGCTAAGACTGCCTTTCCAAGATTGCAAATCACAAGTAGGGAGAGTGTCCACCCTTCTCTGCCGTTAGCAGAACAACTCCCCTACGAACTAGGGCTTCCTGAAATATGGCACACACATATGGAAACCCCAATCGTTTGTTAAAGAGAGATATTTAACTTCTAAAAGAAGAGAGTAAAAATATATTTCTTTTCCCCCGTCCCAATTCCTTTTGGAATGGCTCCAGATACATAAAGAAATGCTTTCTGGAAACATTCTTTTGCTCTTTAATTTTTAGTCTTTTTCTGCTCTATTTTCTGACATCATCATCATCATAGCCAGATTAATTAATTTACAGGAATGGCTGTAACAGTTTTCACCCTCTACTCAAAGACACAAATCAGTGGATTTCCCTGACCCAAAGGATAAATTTAAATTTTCTTTCCTGGTGTCTTAGAACTTGTCTGTCCCCTCCACTGCTTTCAAGCTGTCTGCTTCTGCCTACTCCTTGTAATTACTGCTGTATGACTATATACTGATCCCAATGCATCCCTGCTCCAGCCTCTGTTCACTCAGCCTGTGAAATCACTACTGTCTTTTTTTTTTTTTAAATTTGTTATGTGTGTACCGTCAAATTGGATCTGACGTGTACAGGAGGAGATTGTCCCTCCTTCTTCAGCAGAGCATCTGGTGGATTTGAACTGTGCACCTCTGGGCTTGCAGTTCAGTTTCTTGCCACTAGGCCACCAGAGCTCGCTGAAATCACTACTGTCTTTCAAAGGCAATTTCCTTCTCTCATTATGCCTTCTAGGGTCTTCCAACAGGAAATAACTTAATCTATCTCCCAATACCCATTGCCTTTTTGTGGGAAGATGGGAAGGGTGTGGTAATAATCTTACAACACTTGGCACAAGCTACTTTCATTACATTTGTTTGTGGTAAAAATCTCTTTCCCTTTCTTGAAATTATGTTCTTCGAGGTGGGCAGGGCCCAGACAGCACGCTGCCATTTTAATTTTCATTTCTCCTGTCACACTTTACGCGGGATCAAATGAATAAAAATGCAAGATCTAAAATTGGGTTTGTCTTACACAATTAAGCCCTATGAGAATTCCAACCTTTATTATGTACGTGGGCACTTACAGGCATTTTGTTCTTAGAAGCCAAGACTGGACATGTTGAAAAAAGAAAAGAATTGTATAAAAATTACAATGAAGAAGCTGACCAGCTGGATCCGACCTGCAGATGTGTGCTGTTGGTTCACACAAAGTTTTTTGGATTTTGTTTTTTTTTTTAAAGAAAATATTCACCAACATGAATAAAATAGCAACAAAATTTTGAGAAAAGTCACATGAAAAGTCTTATTTGCAAATCATCATGAAAAACAAAAGATCTAGCATCCAGGGATTGCGTGCTCACATGGCAATGTGGTACGGAATAGTTGGCTGTCCACTGCATAGGTCTCTGCCAACCCACATCACTGGCTTGTATTATCTACCCCAGCTCCATTAGGAAATGGAATTTGAAGTGCTGGGCATATATGAGACAGAATAAGAGTAAAGAGAGCAATAATGTCAGAGTAAGACTATGCAGAATCAAGATGAGCTCAAGTTTGAAGACAGGCCACAGTGAATTGGAAAAAGGATGAAAAACCAAGAAAAGCTGTTGTGTCTTTAGAAATGAGGACAGAGCAGCAGCAGCAATTTAATTGGGCTGAGTAGATAGTCTTCATATCCACATGGCAAAGAAGCAAGAAAGAAAACAAATCATTGCAGCAGAACCAAACCCTCAACGAGATGGGTCAGCACGGTGACTGTGACCATGGGCTCAAAGATGCTGGCGATCATGAGGACGCTTCGGGATAGCGGAAGGTTCAGATCTGTTGCTCACAGGGATGCTCTGAGTCATAGATGACTTCATGGCCCCTCAAAACAACTCTTACGAAAAGTCAGTTCCTAGAATCTTCCTACTACTCAGCAAGACTTGGAGCTAAGGATTGAAAAGTCTTGCAACTGTAAGGAATCTAGGCTTTTACCAAGCCCAGAAGGATCCAAGTAAGAGCAATCAGAGCCTGAAAGCCCTAAAATCTCGCCCTTGTCTCCTTTTAGAGGATGCTTTCCCCTGAAAACAGCTCCGTTTTGCTCTGAGGACCCCGGCCCACTTGGCCACTAGAGGGCCCCACCACACACTACATTCGGGCTCCATCAGAAGGATTGGCTCCCCCTGATTGCCTGGGGAGGTTCTCATGATACTCACTTTAGCTTTAGAGGAAAGTAATTTGGGATTTTTCCAACCTTATCTTTAGAAAAAAAGAAATATTGAACATCTAATGCATGAGAAAGCAAAGTATAAGAGCTTTGTAAAAAGCAAGACCATGTGACAGGTGACGAAAAGCCTTTAGCTGCATGGGCTTCTCGTTGGCTACAGAGTTCACATCTGATCTGCAGTTTGTTTCTCTCTCATGGCTTATTCTCCCACCAGGGCTTGTGGTCCCTCCTTTCTCCAGGAGAGAGAAGCCCCAGCAGGAGGTGTGAAGAGATGGATCCTGGGCAAAGGGCTGAGTCCATGCCAAGCTTACCTAGTTCACTCTTGAAGGTGTGATCTTGGGGAAGGACGGAGGGAGAATTCCGAATACTTCCTCCCCCAATGAACCAGTTCACATTGGGGTTCCAGCGGTTGACAAAGCCACAGAGATGATTCTCTTCAAAGTCGCATTCTAGCAAGACAGGAGAGAGAGAAAGAGGGGGAAAAACCAAAACTCAACACATTTTATGGAGACGCTGTCATACCTGGAATTTCCCCTTATGGCGTTAGATTCCTCTCTCTGTCCCTTGGCACAGTGAAGAGGTATACGGGGACCCCATGGAAAATACCCACCAAAGAATGGAGTGAAGTGAGACACTGATGCTGCCGTATGTAGTCTTTTCATGAAGGTGACAGTTGTAGGAAGCTGTCTGGTTCTGAAGAATCAAGTTCTAACTCAGCATTGTGCCTTCTGACTATGGGTCTTCTCCTTCCTGACCATGCATGTGGCAACTCTGACTTAGAACTTCTTTCCAACTTGGCCTCTTCATATGTGTAAAGTGGATAATGTTCCCACCTCACAGAGTTATTGCTGAGTAATCTTCAAACATGTTGCCCACCACCCATTCTCTCAGCTGGTAGCCCACTCCTCAACCCCTTTCTCCCTTGGTGGCAGGTAAGAAGCCCACGGAAGAGACATGTACTTCCTAAGATGCTAGTGATATCCTGCTTTTCTTACAAGTGAGAACCCAGTCAGAATAGTGTGGGCAGGGATAGCCTAGGCTTGGGGTCTCTTCCGTAGCTACCGAGTGAAGAAGAAATGAGAAAAGAACATCCCTCATGCCTTGCTTTTCAGTGGTATTGCCATGTTTGCTCACATAAACGATTCCCAGTCAACAGATTCCCCTTAGTGGGAATGAGAAGCTCATAAGCCAGGGCCTTCATAGACTCTCATGTTCTTGCAATCAAAAATGTGAAGTTGGGCTGTACTGGCCATCTCCCATTTGTGCTTGCACATCTACTCTCTCCAGGCTGGCTGGTCTCTGGAGGCTGTTCTATACAGACTATGTCAATCTCCTGCCTCTGGCTTCCTGCTGGATTTGGCCAATGGAAGGTGGGAGAAGAGCGAGGTTGGATGTTTATGCCCTCAGCTTCCACACTGCGAGGTCTCCGTGTTGGCTGCATGCTCATCCTTGTGAAGTCTTCACCACTCAAGTCTTGTCTCCAGGTTTTGGCAACTTCTCTTCATCTGCTTCTTCAGATCCACGATGATAATGGTTTATGCCTCACTGGTTGCTAGTCCTGGATCATTTTGCCAGCCTCTGCTGGTTCTCTCTCCTTTCTCCTATCACACTCTGGAGTCCTTTTTTACTGAACTTCCTTCAAATGCCTCAGGTTGACAGTACCCTCTGTTTTCCGTTTTCTTCCTGCCAAAGCCCTGGCTGAGTTACCAATGTGTTTTCACTTTAGGGAGCATAGTAATCTAATGAGGTATGCATTTTCTTCTCCCCATTTCACAGATGATGACACTGAGGACAAGAGACTCAGCAGGCTGAGTTGACAGGTGGGGTCCCTCCAGGTGTCTGACTTTAGTCTCTGGTTATGCTGGTGACTATGCTGCTGCCTTAAGGAATGTGGCCCACATGAAGGCCCAAGGAAGCATGGATCCCCCTGTTTTCTTTTATACTTGCATTAAAGACGTCGTTGAAAGGTCAAAACAGAGAAGTGAGATTTTAGGGAAGTTGTCAAAAACCTCTTTTTGGTACAGAATCCTTCCCAACCATTTGATTGTGGTTTGGGTGAAAGGTTACAGAGCTCAGAGTCACATCTGACTCTCCTTTAGCTCCTCCCACTCACTCAGTCTCTGAAACTGTAAATGATGGAAAACTCTCCACTCTTTCCCCGCTTGCCTAGTCCACTGCCAACCTCCTATTTTAGAGCCGTCCTACCTCCTTTCTGTAAGATTACAAGTTTCCTATATGAACTTTCCTGTCTTATATGTTTTCTTTTCTTCCCGACCTGTTTCCCGTGGCAGCCAGTCACCGCCCTGCCAGGGGGCTGCCTGCTCCTCCCCTGCTGACTGACTTTTGCTGTGGTTCTGGGGTGCCATTGAGTCGAGTACCCTCATATCGACCCTATGAACAACAAATCTGAATCCCATCCTATCCTGGCTCTTCCTTACCATCTCTGATACACTTGACTTCCAGGGGTTCCTGAACATGACATTCATTAAGTCTGACTTCCACAGCCTGGATCAATAGTCTTCTTCACAAATCCCTTCTTTCATCGTCCTTGAGTTTTGACTTGTAACTGACCCTCCTGCAGATTTCTGAGGCTGTAAACTGCATGAGAGGAGATTGTTGATCTTGAGTCTCACTTCAAGAAGGCTCACACGTGTATTTGGACCTGCCCTGTATTTTATTCCTACACAGGTCTGCCCGCAAAGAACTACTCTTTTATTCCTATTCTCTGTTTTTACTCAACTATATTCCTCTACCTCTTGGACTTTAGTCCAAATGCAGCCATTTTACTAAATCATCTCAATCTTCTCATCTCTTTCCCTCACCCATGGCTTGTTCTTTTCCTCCCAGTATTTATTATACACAGAAATAATTTCAGGAGTGGAGGAGTAGGTGTGAGCAAAGAGGACAGGAGTTAATACCTTTTCTCTCAGAACCTGGCGGGTAAGAGGCACCCAAACAAGTGCCATCTAAGTGACATCGGTGGCTGCAGGGATGGGGGGATGGTGTGCCAAGAGAGAAAGGGAAGTTACACTATGACTGATTTTCTGGGAAAAGCCACAGAAAGCTGAGTTTGCAGCAAACTGGAAATGATTTTTATTAGAACTTATTAAGGTTAAGGCAGCAGCTCTGAGGTCACCATTGTTAATTCAGGCAGTCCAAACAACTTTAATGAGCTATACTGCACTTAAGACCAAAACAGCATGCAAGCGAACCTTACAAAAAAATTTAAATGTCTGTGCAATATGCAGTCCTTTCTATCAAATATGGCTTCTAGGGCTGAGTCAGTTCCCTCTAGCAACACAGCTTTTACTAAAAAAATTCACATTCTGATTCAATGAAAATGAAAGCCACTTACCAATGCAGTAGCCGGTTGTCATCTTGATTTCAAAGAGCGCAATACTGGCTGTGTTTCCCCGCCCTAGGACACCTTCAGTCAAAATCTGCACAACACATGGGGAAAAGGGGTTAGGCTTCAAAACAATGTGGTTCTTTGGTTGAGTCATTAGATACTAGTCGTGTCACTCAGCAATCCTGGGCAAAACAAGATTATTTTTTCCAGCTAGTTGCTCTTGGAGACCAACCTTACTATGTGTTTTATTAAAAGAATGTGTTTATATACATATATGTGTTCACATATGTGTATATATCTCATTGCTGCTGATTTGGAATCCACCCTCCAGTGGGTTTTCAGAGGCTGTAACTTGCACAGAAGGAGACTGTCCAACTTTCTAACAGCAGAACAGCCGGTCATTTCAAACTGCCTGCCTTTTGGTTGCCAGTGCAACATATTCCCTACATCACCAGAGCCCCCTGTGCATACAAAGAAATATGCATACACACTGAGAACTTTGAGGTAAGTTTCATTAGAAACTCAAGAATCTGTCTCTGATTGTTACCCTCCTTGCACTGTCTCCAGTGCTGGTGGAGGTGAAGAAAGGAGCCTGTATTCCTGGGGAAAGCAGAAGCTGATAGCAGAGGCTTCAGCAGTAAAAAACCTTTTCAGGAGGAGATGGGAAACATAACTTGTGTTGGTGGTGGGAGGTGTCAGCAGATGATGGAGGTTCAAACACTAACTTCTACTTTTTATACAGATGTAAAGTTTGGGAAAAATTATTTTTCTTTTAAGAAAAATATTACTTTTATGTTTTGTTGTTTTGCTAAATCTGCACAGCAGAATATAAACACATTCAGCAGTTTCTACATTATAATTCAGCAGCATTGATTATTTTCCTCAGATTGTGCCATGCTCACCCTCCCTTTCTGATATGTTTTTCCTTCATTAACATAAACTACTTGCCCCAAAGTTTCTTAGCTAATCTTTTGAGTTACTGTGATCAGAAAATGGGAAAATTTTATACAAAATGTGGAGCATGACAATTTGTGTGCCTGGTTTTAAATACAGTTGTAGTTCACAGTCTGTCCTATATCTGAGAGACATCACTTTTTTCTGATGTGGTTTTAGCCTGACACTTCATCCTTAGACTGGTGGATTAAGTGTGTGATATACTGTTGGGAGGACATAATGAAATAGGAGAATCTTACACCCTCCATGTGCCTTCTTTCAGACCATGACAAGGAGGGACTCTGAGCAGGCAGGAGGGATAGCACTTTCAGAACAAGAGGAAAGGATGGGGATTAAAGGGAGTTTAGGAATGACGAGGGTTTTCCTGACACAATCTCACTAAATATGCCTCATGGACAACCAAAGGCAGAACCATGCTCAAGCTCCACCCCAGTCCATACTCAGCTTCGTCGTAGGTTCTCCACCTTTCTTTCCCCACACTCTGAAGGAACAAATTCCATATTGAAAAGAAAACATAATGACCTTTATGTATCAATAATTTTAAAAAATATTTTCATTACATATGGCATTTTAGTAAAAATTACAGCAATCGAACCCTTAGGACAAAAATATAAACACATACTACACACAAGGAAGGAAGAGGCAAAAACAAATTATAAGAAATGAGAATTCTCCTTGCTGCCCTTAACAAGCCAATTTTTATTGAAAGGTTTAACCTCATTTAAATTCTTAAAGAAAGACCATTTAAATAAGTGAGAATTCCGGAAGAGGTTATTTTAAAGGAGAAAAAAGCCCCACAATATTAACTTACATTACTAATATTCTTTTGTAATGCATATACTATAAAAGATCATATTTTAATGCAATAAATGACTTCAAAGGCTGCAGTTTTCACAAGGTCTCAAAAGAGCACAAAACACCCATGTCCAACCCTCTGCCTTCTTCCTAGATGACGCCTACCTTGAATTTCCTGGGACTGTTTTGCAAATCCAGACTGGCTATGAGCCAACTGTCTGAAGTTTCTCTGGTCGACCACAGTAAGCGGTCAAAGCTTTCATCTTCAAATCTCACATAGAGGCTCAATTTGCTGGGCTCTGCCAGAGACTCAGAAGATGCAGTTATCTGATACACTAAACGGAGGCAGCTCCATTCCTCGGCCTGCAAGTCAGAACTGAGCAGGATGGCCTTCTCACCTTGTTTGGCAAATGAAGTGTCTACATAAATGTAATGTCCTGGAAAGAGAAAGGAACACAGAAGAGGAATCAATCGTATGCCTGCAAGTCAGGAAAATAAGTGGTGCAGAACATTTATAAGCAGACAATCTCCACATGCATTTTGTTTGAATTCCATAACGTTGTCTCAATACCATGTCTTTGATTGTGAAACATTAGAAAAGGTCTGGTGACACTTGGGCTGCTTTCTCACATGACAACAGCAGGCTAGAACTGGGTAGTGTTGTATCTTTAGAGGGTGGCATGTGATCTCTACTTTGCCACAGTCATCACCACTGCCTACTAACCTCTAATATGAAGCCCAGTGTCTACTGTGATTTTATACCCAGCTTTCTTATCACATTGTATGCAGCACCTTGACTCCCATATGCATATGCATTTGAGAACCCTGCCTAAGAGTGATCAAAACCTGGAGAAACAGCAGGGACAGATGAAGCACCTAGGACAGAATCAAAATGCCATGGAGGATTTGACCATCTCCTCCTGTCTTGCTTCATGTGGAGTGATGTATTCTGCATTTGACTTGCAATATTACAACCTGGACCTTGTTGGGACCGGGTAGGAAAATGTAATTGAAAACCAATTTTTTTATTAGGGATAAAATCTTTTATCCTTATGCTTTTCCATGACTAGATCTTAGGCTTAGGATAACTAAATGAGAAAGTATGCACGAGACATGTTCAACAGAGCTTAGAAAACAGTGAATTCTGGGACTAGTAATAACCATCTGCTCTTATCCTTCCTCCCCTTTCCTAGCCTCCTTCATCTTCCTCTCTTCCTTCATCTTGTCTTTTTTTAAGTTATTGATCCTTTTCACTCTTCACCTCCTTTTTATTCTTTCCTTACTCCTTTTATCTTTTTAACATTGGAAAGTGTTCTGGATGCACTTGGATATTGAAACTGTACGGAAAAAAACTTTGAGCTAAGAATCTTAACTGGAACTTGCCCAACTCAGTTCAGTACGTCTGCGTTTTGTATGGCAGCAAAATGATCTGCTCTGGGTCTCTGGAGACCACAACCTTTCTAACCTGCATTAGTCTGTTGTTCTCCATTGTGTGACCTCCCACCTTATTGCTTTCAGATTCAGTACCCTAACACCAGACTCTTACTAGAAAGGGCCTACAATGCTGCTTTGTTTTATGCTGTATTCTTCAGTCCCTTCTCCCCTGCTTGTTACCCCAGATGCCAATCTTGGCTATGATCCTTGTCTCAGTGGCGAGTACAGACAGACCAGCACCCCCCAAACTGATGACTGTCCTCACAGTTAGGGCATTGTCTTCAGGGAATCTTTTTGTCTGCTGAAGGGTTTTAAGATCAAGATCTATCTCCAGCTGGCAGTTTCCTTGGCATGGGAACCACCCACTGGGTGTAAATAGCAACTGCTTCTTGATGACAACCCAGGCCCTGTCTTGTGCAGAAAAGGGGATGTTGAAGCAATCACCAGAACGGCAATTGTTGGTTTTGTGTACCACTAAGCCAGTTTAGACTCACAGCTTACTGCTTCAGTTATATGTCCTACATGTGGATTCTCTTAGATTTTGAAATATTAAACTGGGCTTTTGATAACAACCCTTTTTGACTCATAGTGCTATTTCATTGTGACATGAGGGGATATATATGTGCTATCCTACTTTCCCTAGTCTCTGCTACTATCTCAAATGAAAGAATTATAAGGACTTTGAGAATTAGGGTTGAAATAGAAGGCCCAAAGCATTTCAAACTTTTTCTGAGAAAGTACACACTTAAGGGGAGTCTATAAATGGCACAAACTTCATTTACTCATATAATAATCAAAAGGTTAGAAGTTCAAGGTCACCCAAAAGCACTTTGGAAGAAAGAACGGTGAATCTACTTTTGAAAAAAAATGAGCCATTAAAAAGCCTCTATGTATACTGAATTGAAACAGATGAGGGAGAGAACAGTTTAAAAGTGATATATGATAGCATATATGATTATCACCGGAATCCAGAATTAAGGTTGTATAGCGGAGTGCAATGGGGTGGGGAGTGTCGGGGTAGGGGGGATTGCATACCAATGAAAAAGTTTATCTTTTGCTTTTCAAAGAGAGGAGTGAACTGGGGTAAGGGGTGTAAAGAAAAAAAGTGCAACAATGAATGAATGAAAATCCCAAATCTCTATAAATGTTAATGAAAATAA